TGTAAAAGTATTTCGGCTTTCTGTGAGTATTCAAATATGACATTTCTGTAATTATTGAGACCTGACATTTTGAAGTTTCTAAATTTACATGACGTCCGTGTTTCGTTTGATTAACACAGAAAAACTTGTATTCGTTTACGATATCATTTAATAATGATAATTATTTTAGTGTCGGTTTTTTCTTGTCAGTAAGCCATGTTAGTGATTTTGTTCTGTTCAGATATTGTTTCTGATATGTTCGTCAAATTCAACATTTTGTCTCATGGTTTATTCATTCCCTATTTGGGACATTTTATAAAATATTTTCCAATTCGTTTTCGTGTAATGAGAAGATGAAAAGGATTATTAAAAGTGTTTGTACGTATTGACTTAACGTAAACAATTTTCGAATTATTGTCCAAAAAAATCATATCTGGGAGGACATCTAGATTAGTGAAACTGATGCTTGAAGGCTCGTCGCGTGGACAGGCATTTCATCCTCAATTGGAGTTGAGATTTCGCATGTGCTAATACCATTACACATTTACATTGAGACATACGGAAACTCGTAAAAACCCTATGTGACACGTCCGCTAGCCCAACCTTGAATAATCCGAACCCGACGTGTTTGCCATTTGGCGCACACCACTTCAGTCGCATGTCTGTCTGTGTGGGTGGGTGGGTGGGTGAAGTTCGCTCGTTCGCGGTGTGGCGGAGGTGGCGTTGCGAGGGCGCGCGAGGCGTCGATGCGCCGCCCTCAGGCGGCGGCCGGCGATCACCCGCCGCCTTCTTTCCCCTCACAGACCCCGTCGCCTCGCGGGCCCGCCCCTTCCCTGCTGCGTCATGGAATGGAAATGCCTTCCCCGACGAAAATGAAACTTTTCCACGATTGTTTAAACTTTTTAAAAAAAGTTGTTTGTCATCAATGTGTCAATAATAAGCGCTCTGATGGTCGTTGAATTGCTTGCAAAAGAGTTCATTGTTCCGATCACTTATGTATAGCCAAATTCATAATGCAACTGCATTGTGAATTTGGCTTCACATAAGTGATCCGCATCAGGCGAGAATTGTGCCTTAAAATGCTTTTAGTTTTTCGTTCCCCCGACTACCAAGCAAGTAATTAATTTAATTTAAAATATGTAAACAAAGTAATTAGTTTAATTTAAAATGTGATTTATTTTATTAGGTTTTACATAATTTACCTTGTAGCATGCTATACTTATTTGATAGTGGTTAGATATAGAGCCAAATATGGAGGTTTGTGCCCACGTGAATTGGTTTGGTAATATGATTTTAAACAAGCTCCTGCCGTACTTCATTTGAACATGATCAGCTTTTCATACGATCGTAGTAAAGAACCAAACAACTGTTACACATTGCACCAATTCTTTGTAACAGAGGTCTGTAAAATAATTGAACACGTGCCTCGGGAGTCCATTTTACGGGAGGGGATCTACGTGTATAGCAATCATACCCCGAACACCAACGTCTCCATGAAAATGGAAACATTTACAACGAACACGCTCAAACCGCCCATGCGCGTCACCTTCTTTATTGCTGTGGTCTCTTTGCCCTTGAACATCACCTCCATGCCTTGCTCTTACCGCGGGCTTCGCGTCATTGAAACGTCACGATGACTTCCTCCTCTCCGTTATTTTCATTCCACTCAGTCCCAGTGGTTGTCTTAACACGTTCCGTTATTTCCCTCACGCCCACTGCTTTATTTTTACCTTTATTGTACACTTCAGTTCGGCATTGGCAAGACCATTGCTTCACAATGTCTCTAGTCCTCCATTCCACTCCTCCCAGACATCGCGATCGTCGTCGTTGCCGCAAACCGTCTGGCGTTGCTCTGGTCGCCGCCGCCGCCGCCATCTCCTCCAGCGAAACGTATGCCGCCCGCCAAAGCACCCGTCGTCGCGACGTAAAATTCCGGAATTTCTCGTCACATTATTTCGCGGCGGTTACAATCCGCCAGATGGATGGTTATGCTGCGCCCGCGAGGGGAGGGCGGGCGGGGTCGCGAGGCGGAACGCAACACGGAAAGCGACGGCGGGCGGGCGTGCGGAGCTGAGCGGAACGGAACAGCTGAAGTGAGGGCGGGAGGAGGGAGAGGGTATGTGTGAGTGTGTGTGCGGGGGGAGGGGGAGGCGCCAGAGGAAATGGCACGCGCGATGGTGGGGAACCTCACCACAAAATGAGCGCCGTTTTATGAAAATGTCAGAACAAATTGATTCCTGACGATATAGGGAGCGCGCGACGCGAGGCCCGGGAGGAGTTGCCCCGCGCGCCCTGCCTTGCTTCCCCCAGACCCTCACACAGGGCAGGAGGCGGCGGCGGCGGCGCCGCGCTCGCTCGCGCTTGGCCGCCACATGTACCGTACTGGGCGTATCTCGCGCCAAGTCTGGATATGCCCGTTCTCAGAACGTGTCGTTGGGTGTTGCTGTCAATTCTCTGGATGAATACTTCGGATTGATGGACATATTAACGTCTGCACTTTTTGGTACTGTGGGTGTGAAGCAATTGATTTTTAATTTTAAATTGCGTCTTGGACGATTGTATTTGTGCGAAAGGAAATCAAACTAAAAGAAAGTCGAGACGTCTAGAGATTTACATAAAAAGTTGTAGTAGATAACTGCAACAAGGAAAATATTTTTTTTCGCTGGTGTCGTTCTCCGTTTCAAAACTAATCATTTTGCAGTGCTTTGATCACGAGTGTCAAAACATTTTCGAACCATGACTATTCGGTTTTAAAAATCACTCATTTACTCTAAAAAGTGTTTTGCTCTATGTCAAAGTTTTCTTTATGCCTTAGATTTCCTTACTTTTTAAAAATTATTTTGAGACAGTTTATCAGTATTGATGTTCTCTGTAAACAAGATTGATGAAGTGCATGATTTTATCGGAGTTCACGTTCTATAACATTGAAAGTGAAATATTTTTGTGGCAATAAAGGTCTGTCAGGTACAAGAGAGATGAGATAATACAAACAAGTTACCTCATATTGTATTGCGTGTTCCCCCAACTCTCTTCCGTGTTGCTTGTTCATATTCCACTGATCCATCTCAGCGGTGTATATTTGCACTCTTGACAGGAGAAATATCGATTGCATTTCACGTACAGTAACGGCTCTTAATGTAGCCGGGCGAGGACGAAAACGGAAGCGACAGACATTTTTCCAGCCGGAAAGATAATTCCTAACGACCTCTGCCCCTCGTCCCCGTTCTCCTCTGCCGAGTTCTTGCGACAGCGACGAGGAGGAGGCAGCGCGACACGTTCGACAACTCGCGGGCGCGTACGAGCCTTCTGCTACTCCACAGTCGCGTATTTTTTCGATGTTCTTTTTTTTCGCCTTATCGTTGAAGTCGGTCGCGAAGCGCCCAGGACACGCATGCGACCCAGCCAGCCACGCGTCCTGCGCACCATTATGCGGAAGACGAATGATTCATTACCTGCTCCCCTATTTTCTATAATGAAAATATCTCTTCCCCCTGCGTACGTCGGGATAGGCTCATTACGTGAAGGGCATGGAGGGGGACGGGAAGGAGGACGGCCTGAGGACAGGGAGACGGGATGGGACGAGGAGGTAGAGGGAGGATGAACCCCTTGGGGTAGGAAAACTGAATGCGGTCTCCCGCGCCATACGTTGCTCTTTTTTTCTCCTTCTTTCTCTCGTGGGTTGTTCAACTTTGGCAATTATTGGGGAGAACCTTCGAGCTCGTTATGGAGAGTATCGGAAAAACTTATTATATAGATTTTATGCCTGGATTGCCGTATAGAAAGAAATGCGTATCGAAATCTTGCAGCCCGGGGATGCTATGTTCTGTTGTGTGGTTGCTTGAGGGTGGACAAACGCTGTGTGCTTTTCGACTCGTTTGCATCTTCTCGTTACTAACTTGGAAAAGTCCTTCGGAGAATGATGGGCTACACGATATGCATTTGTTAGTGCATTGAGTGTAGGATAATTAATTTCGTCAGGAATCCAGTGTCATTCATTGAAAACATAAAATATGTAGACTTGTAATATAAAGGTTGTATTGAATTCTGTTTCTTCACATATTGCAATTGTACTTTTAAAGATGATGAATTTTATGTGGGACTAATAAATCGTAGCTTTTAATATTTGAATATTGAGAAGACGGTGACCATTTGCAACTGTCCTATAGAATTGATGCAATTGAAATGGCATGTCGTATTTTTACTGATGTAAAAGCAATGAATTCGGAAGCAAAGAAGTCAACAGCTTCATTTATTTATTTATTTGTTTCTTAGGTATTTAAAAATACGATAAATAAGTAATGAAGCTGCGTATCTTTCATTTATTTCTTTTGCATATTATTACACTCTAAGTGGGGAAATGTCATTTGAGCATTAAATTATATTACGATGCACTCACATTTTGCTCTTGAACTACTAATTGTGAATTTTGGACGGTTAAGAAATATTTATTTTCTTCATAACTTCGAAAAAACTCATTACAGTATGAGTATTTACTGCTATTTAATGATATACAATGACAATTGTATTATATGAAAGAAATATATATGGAGAGACAGAAAGACGTAGTTGACGAGGATTACTAAAATGTTTGTGATGAAATTTAAATTGTTAATGGATGACAAGAAATTAAGGGTACGTATGCTGGTAATTTCTCAATGTGGAATTACAAATTGTAGAGTTTGGAGAGAAAAAAAGTGTAGAAACAAACGTGAAAGAAAAACTGTAATATTTCTGTAAAAATAGTATGATCTGGTAAATAAATGGAACAGAAAGTATCCACATAGAAATATTATCAACGCATGGTCGTCATTTACCTAAATTACGATAATATTTAGATTATGATTCATTTTGAAACGAAACTTGAAATGAAATCTGTTTTTTTTTTTTCTTAAGAAATCAATGTAGTGCAGAAATGTACTGTGGATGTTACTATTTCCTGGAGGTGTAATCTCTGAAAGAAACATATCGAAATGCAATTTCCATTACAATCCTATCCGTGCTGTACTTGCAAGTACTGGAGAATGGCGTCTTGTGTGGGGTGGCAATGCCCGTGAGTGAATTGTGCGTGTGTTGGTGTGCCGCAGACGCTGCTGCCGTCGGACCCGCCGTCGTTCGCGGTGGAGGCGCTGCGCGTGAACGAGACGGGCACGCAGCTGGCGCTGTCGGGCCCGCGCGGCGCCGCCGTGCTCGAGCTGCCTCGGCGCTGGGGCCCCGCCGGCGCCTTCTTCGGCGGCAAGGACGTCGTGTCCTGCAGGTCAGCCACCGCAACTACAATTGAGCTAATAGTATTTAACTCTCCATGTTTACATTACAACACACCGCGTTTTGGAACAAAATAGAGTTTAATTAATTTATATCTTTGTAAGACTACTAATATTAGCTTAAAATATTATTGTTATTATTATTATTATTATTATTATTATTATTATTATTATTATTATTATTATTATGATAATCGAGGCGACGATTGTTTTTGCCACATTACTCTCTTAACTAATGTTTCGCTTAGATTGTTCATTTTCGTCATATGTTCTTAGAAAAGTTACCTATTGCAACACGAAAATTGTAATTGAAAACGTCTGTTCTTTTTTTATTTTTTGGTATTTGTTTATGTGATTGCGAAACTTCTATACCTATGTAAATAAAGTAAATCATATTTATATATCGAATGACAATACGATGATTACAGACATAGAAGTGTAAAACATTTCACGAAAAAATTACATAGTAGTGACTTCAGAATTTTGTGTATTATGTTGAGAACCTTTAAAAATGCTTTTCCGTTTGTTTGCATCCACGCCCTCCAAATGGAGCTAACGATTTTTGCATTCGATAAGTCATTTCTAGCACATTTGACTGAACGAAGATTCTTTACTCCAAGAGCTCTTGAGACTGATCTCAGAGAAATAGACGAAGAACGTAGACACAATCCGTAGAATTCAGTTCTGGAACCAGCATTTTATTTCAAGTAACACTCTGCCTTGTAAGCGTGATGCACATATTTTCATTACTTTTCAGTAACGTCCATCAGTGGATATCTATTTCGCTTTTTAGTTTCCTCTCATAAATGTAATGTATAAGCAAGCAATTCGCAAAGTTTTCTAAGAGACAACATTCTTCTACATTTACCTTTCTGTGGAATATATATTCAGATTAGTCCTCGTAACAGCACAGTTCTTTCTGTGATTTTGGTGTGTCTCACCACAGAAGCAGATCTCCTCCAGTCTATGTATCCCCCTTTGTTTTTCAAGTATCGCCGCGACGGATCTGCGCCGCAAGGCTGTTTGCGTTTAAAGCCAGAATTTATGCTAACGAACGCACCAACGATGCCTCGGCTTCGCAAGGGAGCTCAGCATTCGACCGTCGCTCTCTGAGTTGTCGTTATTCAGTCGTCAACGATTCACGCGGTCAATATTTCGCACCATTCACTCTTCTTGTATTCAAGTGCAGTATGCTCCTGAGTTTCCATACACGCACAGCCATATCTGTTTACTCGTTCTTGTAGTCATAGAGCGATGAATATCACTCTATTTCATAAACACATTTTATCTCGGTTTCAGTCACACTAATTCATTCATTCTCCCACTCACCTTTTCAGCCACTCTCTATCATCTTCTCAACAATCTCCCCGTTGACGTACCCCCTACATTCACATTCACAGCGACCACTAACGACTATTACTTTTTTCCAATTCACGCGTGTACGTCTGTTTGTGAGCTTCTTCTTCTCCTCCATTTCATCGTGTTTACCTCTCTGATCGTGCTGTTTTCCGTGTCACTCCACTAACCACAGGTCGCCATCGGGGTGGCCCCTCCACCCGTCCGTGTGCGGGTCTCTCCCGCTGCCAGTGCGTCCGGGAAGCACTTCCCTGTTGGTTCGTCTGGCTGGTCCCCGCGTTCCGCCGCGGAGGGCGGGTGGGCGGGGCGGGGCGGGGCGGAGGTGAGGCGCGAGCGAAGTCGCCCCGGCCCCCTCCGCCCGTGCAAAGCCCCTGCCTAAGCCCGCCACTCGGCGAAGTAAAGCTCCGCGCAATTCTTTACCATCCGTATCACGTTCTTAGGACACGCACGCATTAGCGCCGGCAAGAACGGGGCCGGCTCTTAAGTTTCGCCATAACACATTAATATAATACCCCTTATATCCTTAGTTGTAATCTTGGAATAACTACACTGTTCAACATATTTTTCTCTTCCGTGCCGAAAGTAATAATGTTCCTCAGGGATGTCCACCGCTGCTGGTTTCGGTCGAAGAACACATTCGAAACAACGGGGGAACCTACTGAACGACGTTTCACTCGCCTCCATCCAATCTCTGAGTATGAGTACGCAAAGTCCTGTATTGCTAACAGTAGTTTAGCTACCTTCGAAACGTTACTTTTTTATCATTTGAATCTTCAAATAATCATGGACCATTAATTTTGATGTGTAAAATTGTGTTTAATATTCTATATTAAAAAAAAAAGTAATTTTACTCATGAATATTCACCGGAAGATGCAAGCCGAGAGTCAATAATACAAAGTGTTTTACCTATTTCTGTTAGTAAGGGAATTTCTTACAAGTTGGAGTTCTTACGTTTCTTCTATTCCATTTAAAAATCGTCGAAATGAGGCTCTTACATTGCGTCGCTCTGAAATATCACCGTGAAAGATTAATATCTTCTCTCGCGCACTCCCGCCAGCTGCTACATGTAAGTGGCTCGTTCAACTCCACTGCATAGGGGTGGCGGGGTACACTTCACTTTCGCAATGGCTCAGTGCATGCGGCTGCAGTGGGGCCGTGTAACAACAGACGCGGGTATTGAATTTTTTAACTTTCCCACGCACGCATACAACGAGCAAACAGAAGTATGGAGCGCGCCAATATAATATTGATATTGTGGTGAGTTTTCTTTGGCATTTCCAATGAAATAATTATATGAGTCGTCATTGCCAACAATATCATTTATTAAAATTGGCTTACCCATCGTCATCATCATCAGTTTTCTGCTGTATGGATAACGACTAGATAGTTCTCAGCACTCAGCACATATGTTCTTTTTTCGCCAACTATTTGAAGATTTATATTTTCTTCCTGCGTTTGTTTTTGTTTATTGTAAATGCTTGAATGTCATTTACAACATTTTTTTCGTTGCGTGAAATTTATAAGGAATTTTGTTATTACGTTATATTAGGAAACCTGTCATTATAATATATTACCGAATCTCTAGTATGATAATCACGTATTACATTTCTAAAATGTTGCTACTAACTCTTCCATTTCGTTGTAAATATATCATTTTGTTCGGCGTGAAAGTAATTCGCTGGTGCGTTTCTTTCTTCTTCCACTTCTATTTTTCGGCCCATGAGGTGGCAGTGTGCGGCGCATGCAACACACGTTGTGTGGCTCGGGCGCGGGCGCGCCTACCCGAGCGAGCGGGGGCCCCGGCGGGGAAACACACGCGATCGTCCCCGCCCTCCCCCGGCCCCTCCCCTCCCCTCCCCGCCCACACACCTTCTGGGAGCGGGCGGCGCAGGGGGCCTTGGCTTTCTTCGCATTATGCGGCTTTCAGCGCCCAAAGTGCCTGCAAACAATGTTTCGCGGGTCATTACGCGCTTTCTAGCTCGTCTTGTGTGTCCTCTAAAAGTGTTCGTGTCGCCGGGCGGGCGGGTGCCGGTGCGGACGCGGACGCGAGGGGGGCGTGCCCATCTATCGGCGCTGCGGATGGGCCTGAATCCCCTCGGACGAGGTTCCGTCTGCTGTAACAGCTGTGGCGGTTGAAAGCTAATAATCGGGTTTTGTGTGGCATTCTTAAAGACTCCAGAGGAATAAAATATATTTTGTTCTTTAGCCACAAATCTCGTTTTGTTTTCTTGCGCTTCATAGTGAACCGAGTTTATATAATGTGTTTCTTATAATTATATAATGTGTCTCTTATGGTCGAACTTTGGATCATTGCATCACAAATGATTTCTGACAGTTTTTATTAATGTTAATTTGCTTGTACCTATGTGAAAATATTTTAAATAAAATGACACAAACATATGTAATTTATGAGCGTGCTCAAAGATACTCACAGTAATAAAAAGAGTGATATAAAAAATAAAAATTCATTTAGAAAGGCAACAAACTAACTAGATATTGAAAGCAATCCAAAAGATGGTTTGGGAAGAAATCTTTCTCCTGGCAGAAAATAGTTGCTCTAATCATAATTACTGATCGAGCTTACGTACCATCCTGGTCAAAGTTCATTTACTTCCCTATGTGCTGTTCTTCCAATCCATATAGTGCGCATCATAAATATCATCAAAAATCATAAACGTCGTAAAATTCATAAAAGTCGTAAAAATCATAAAAGTCTTGTATTGATAGCTGGCTGCGTTTGTCGTCGGTAAGCCACCTGGTTCGCGGGTCGCGCGCGGCCGCAGACCTTCGCCGCAGCCCTGGCGCGCCCTCCCCCCTTCCCCCACCCACCGCGATTCGCCCGCGCGCTTGTAGAATAATCATGTGAACACAATGAGCAGCGTTGCGAATCTGCAGGGGATCTTATTTCGTATTCGAGGACTTGCGAGAAATAAAAACCGAAATACAAACCGGCGGCTCGGCGCGGCAAGCACCTCCTCCCCTGCCACAGCCGTTCCCCTTCTCCGAACCCCTCGGGCCGCCGCTTTCTGCTAAGAAGAGCGGTGGGACGGGTGGGGAGGGAAGGAAGGAAGGAGCAGGAGTTTAGTCGCGGCGCCTGTAAACTGCCCTCGTTATTGCACTTATAATATTGTTTTAATGTGGGCCGCCGCGCCGCGAGGCCTGGGATTTTCGGCCCGCTTTCGGCCCCGCGCCGCATGCAGCCCGCGTTCCGCGCCCCCGCCCCGCCCCCGCCGCAGACGCTGCGACTTCGGGGCGTGACTGTTGCGGCGTCGCGGGCGGGCACGTCGTCCGGGAAGACCGAAGGCGACGACGCGGCCGCTTGGAGTCGATGCCGCGTTCGGCACTGGCCAGAGGAAGTGCGATCACTGGATAATTCATTTCAATTCATAAATAAGCCCACAAAAATGTACATTGTGAGATAAACAAGTTGTATTTGGGATGAATGACGTTGACGAAATATTACGTATTGCATACATCTATTTGTGAAGATACAGTCAATATATTTTGAAGCCCACTAGAATTGATATCTCTTGTGTAAGGTGTGCTGTTATAATACATATCCATCATACATTTGAGTTTTAACTTTGGCCTTCCACTTCTTTTAGTATTTATCTTTTAACTCTGCTGTGTCGTATTGGGTAATTTTTTCTTCTCGTTCGCTACTCAGATCGTTACTCTTTGCTTCTTAAGCAAGTTATCCTCCGCTCTAATCTTCACATCCCGGTCGTCATGCTTTCGTCTTTCGTCTGCGCGTGCGCGGCCGAGCGGTTTTCGAGGCCGCTCTCCGTCGTCCGCGCGCCGCCCCGACGCGGTCGGATGTCTGAAGGCCCTGCCCGCCGGCAAATTGTTCGCTGCGAGGCGCTCACGTGATGCCTACCCCTGGCGGGCGTTACTTACGCGGCAAGTCGACGGCGTAAAGAGAGAACGGGAGGGGCTTTGCTGCGTAAAATTTTACATAAACATTCTTGAAGGAGAAGACAGCGTTAGAGCGGGCAAGCTGCCTCCGCCGCCGCTTGCGTCAAATATCTAATCTTTTAATGAGAGGGGCCTCTCTCTCTCTCTCTCTCTCTCTCTCTCTCTCTCTCTCTCTCTCTCTCTCTCTCTGCGGCGAAGGGAAGCGGCGCCGCCAGCCCGGCAATTATCTTAATGCCTTAAACGGCGATACAAGCGGAGACTTGGGACGCTACGTGAGCTCCGCTAAGAAGTGGCTGGCCGACTGAGCTAGGGGGAGGGGGAGGGGCGATCCGGTCGCCTGGCCAGGTAGGCTTCCCCTTGACGCGCGCGCAACGATCGGGTTGCCTGCTTGCGGATGCGGGAACGGGGCAGGTTGGAGACTACGGTGTAGTTCGAATACTGGTTTCTCCAAAGAAAAGTTTGTTTGTTTTCCTTTCTTTCTCACAGAGTGAACATTTCTTGTTTGGTTGTAGGAAGTTTTGGTGAATAGCAGGAAACATGAGCGGGCACGTGGGTACACTAGTGCTTCGGAAATAAGCATTTTTTGGGGGTATGGATTATTGGGGCCATCTCCGAGAGGAGTGAATGTTAGTCACATCACTACCCCATGCTGTAACTTCCTTTTTAACAACCCTGCTTCAGCCCCTCCTCATCTCTACAGTAATATGCGAAGTTCTTTAATATTAGGGAGACATTGTGGAAATTGAGTCAAGTTTTGGTGGCAATCAAGGAAATAAATCTTCCATGTCCAATACATTTACACATTGTATTTCCTTTAGCTTTGCAAAGCGAATACTCAAAT